ATAATATTAATAATAATAATAAAACAATAATAGCAACGACGGTAATACAAAAAAGTAGAAGAAGAATGATGATAATAATGACATATATGATTTTATTAATACTCTTTAACATTTTTAACTTCACACATTTTAAGAGCGTTTAGCTAAAAAAATTGCACATCCAATTACTTGGAAAATGTTACCACATGTCCCACAAGCTCATTGTTACTTGTGAACTGTACTCACTTAGGTGTTCGAATCTATCGCTTTGTCTGACGATGTCATTCACAGGGTTTGGAAATTTTGGTCAAATACTGTGAAAATGTGTGGGTAACTTTGAAATAAAAAAAACTACACACGTAAAGTTGGACTCTTTCAAAATTTTTCACTACATAAAAGTGGCTTCGTCTTCATCGATTTACCGTACTTCGGTTGAATGAATCACAAAGAAATCACATTATTGAAATGCACCTGGTTGGTATTCCACGTCCGTTAGTCGCGAGGAGGTTCAACGTGAACAAACACACTGTGTATGCCACACGGGGTCAAATGGTAACGATAGACTCCTAAAATGGACGTACCAAAGCAAGTAGAGCGCAGAAAGACAAAACAGAGAGAGGACACCTTCATCTTAACTCAACGTTTGAGAAATCAATTTCAACGGGCTTTAAAAAAAGACCAAAGATGAGTCGAAAAGATTTATAAACGATAATCCGATATTTGTCACGACCGTTCTTCTTCGTTTGAAAGAGGGGAACCTTCGTGCTAGGGACCTAGTTTGTTGCATAGAACTGCAGCCCCATCACGTCCAGCTCAGACTTCACTGGGCACTGCATCGCGCGAGATGGCCAGGTCGTATTTGGAATACGTCACATGTTTTCAGGTCAGTCCATATTTCAACTAGAACGGCACGATGGAAGGGAGGGCCAGAGTCTACAGAGGACCCAACCAAATTTAACATCCTAGCTTGCTTCAGACAAACAAATACTTTTGGGTGAGGCCGTGCCATGGTGTGTGCAGGAATCAGTGTAAAGCGCATATAGCCTGCTATTGAGCGGGGATATGCGCTATACAAATACTATCTATTATAATAAT